TGTGTGTGTGTGTGTGTGTGTGTGTGTAAGTAATTGTGTGTGTGTGTGTGTGTGTGTGTGTGTGTGTGTGTAAGTAATTAATTGGCAAGTAGATGAAGATGTGCACAGGGTGGTATAGAGACAATAACTAACGTTCTATAGACACAGAGCGGTTGGCATCTAACCATGAATCCAGAATAAACTGGCTGTCGGCTTGAAGTTTGAACTCCGATTGCTACGGATCTGTTGCCCTCTAGAATTGAATCTTGAGAAGTGATACACTCCCCCTTGGATCATATAACCTTGCTTTTGAACAAATGGGGGGTGCTTTCAGCGTTGGGCCGACTGATGTTGACATTTTTGCCTGATTGCACACAGCAAACCTATCGATATCGATTTCCCTAATGTTAAAAAAAAGCACCTTGCCTGTTAAAGTTTTAACCGGTCAAAGGGGTAAAGTCATCTAAAAGACTTTTTTTTTGAGGGCCAAGAGAAGAGTATAAGGTGGTGACAGTTTTGAACATAGGAGTTTGCTTTTCTGAGTTTCTCGCTTTTCCTTGACATCGTCCTTTCCATCGATGTAATGAAGATGGATGGTTGGAATTTGCTCCCTCTTATAACCTGTGTCCAGATTTTGGTTGTGAGATTACTGTGACCTTTTGACTTTTAGGCCGATGTGGTACATCTTCCAATGGTTAGTCCTTTGGGACATCCGTTAAAATTGGAATGATACAGAGAAGGGTAAATTAGCAAATGGCCGCTGCGCAAGGATGACACACATAAATCGAGAAATGGTCCAAATTAAAAAAAAAAAAGTAAATCCAATGGTTATTGTTGGCTGATGGTTAAATTCAGGCCGTTTCCAACGAGAATACCTTCAATACCTCCTTCTCCAAGGCAAATACCGCCACCTCTTTTATTCCTCCCCCCCCCCCCCTTTTCTCCCCTTAATGTGGTTTGATGGACCATGGGTCAGATATTAAACTGATCAGAATCGACACTAATCTTGATCTTAGCCAAAAGGGCGTGAAACGTTCAAATACCACCATGTTTGACTTTGAAGCTATATGGAATAAAGAGGATGGTTGAATTTTGCATCTGGTCAGACTTCAAACTGAGGCAGTGAGTGGCTTTTCTAATCAAATATGATTCTACCGTCAATTTGATAGGGGTGCAAGGTGCACGATGGCTCAATCTCTTTGTGGACAAAACACAATGAAAGATGGAGTGAGTTTTGTTTGCTCTCCTTGTTGTTTTGTCCTGCGATTGAAGACGATTTGGGAATCTAACCCCCCCCGCCCCCCCGCCCCCACGAAAAAAAGCAAAAAACAATCAATGGAAGTGGTTGTTAATGGCCTGCCCTGATTGGTTTTGATTCTGGCGTCCATCTGCCTGAGAAGTCATAGATCCCACTTCTGTGTGTGCTTGCACACTACGCTTGCATTCCCATTTGAACATCTTCCGCCAGCACAATTAAGGGCAGAGTCGGGTTCCGTGCTTCCAGTTTCCTTTTTGTTATTTTTTTAAATAAAAAAATAAAGCAGGTCCTTATGGGCCTGTCTTTCGAGTTCCGTTCCAATCGTTTTTGGTGTTTACCGCCGTGTGTCGTTGTTAACCTTTGCAGGTGTAGGGTAGTCATCCCCTGCGAATGCGAAAACTGGGGGTGTGCGTTTAACAACAGTGCAGATGCATTGGGAGTCGATGAAAAGTTGGGATGGAAAATATCTGCCTCTATTTTTGAGAGTTCCCTGACTGACATCCAATTGGCATCGTGTTGGCAGGTGGAAGGCCTCGCCGGCACCATGTTCCATTGAATCCAACTTGGCAATGCCGGCAATTTTCAAGGGCGCACAGAGAGAGAGAGAGAGAGAGAGAGAGAGAGAGAGAGAGAGAGAGAGAGAGAGAGAGAGAGAGAGAGAGAGAGAGAGCTGGAGAGAGA